CTTTTTTTTTAAAAAAATTAACTTCTTGCTCTGGTTGTCAGTTCTTCTCCTGAGTTCTTTGATCATCTTTATAGTGATTACCTTGAACTCTTTGTTGAGGAGATTGCCTATCTCCACTTCACTTAGATCTTCTTCTGAGTTCTTTTCTTGTTCCTTCATTTGGATCGTGTTTCTGTGTCACCTCATTTTTCTTAACTTACTGTTTTTATTGCTATGTATGTAGTAGGTTCGTTACATTTCCTGACTTTGGAGAAGTGGCCTTTTGTAGGAGAGGTCCTATGTGTCCCAGTGGCCCACTGTCCCCTGGTCACTAGAATTATATGTTCCAGGTGTACCCCCTATGTGGACTGCTTGGGCTCTTCTGTTGTGGTGGGCTGACTACTGTGGGTGGTCTGGTAGGCTTGGCTGCCCCCAGAGTGCTTGTTTGCCTGGTTCTGCCTTGTATGGAGGCTGTCTGTGCTGCTTGGTGAGGCTAAATCATAAGGCAGCTGGCTGCACAGCGCTGGGGGACACCAAATCTAGTGCTGGATCACTTATGGGTAGAATTGCAGTCCAGGTGATATCAGGACTAGTTCCCAGTCACTGGTGCTGCGGCTATGACGGCTACTGGGAGGAAGACACAGGTCCTGAGTTCTGGCTGCAGGGCCCAGGAGTTGCAGTGTTGGTGTTGGATCACTGTCCCTGACACAGCTATCTGCAGGGTCTTCGGTATCCCGAGTCTTGTCTTGGCATTCTGATGGGCAGGGTCAGGACCCAGCTGAGTCCATGGCTGCTTCTGGCCTGCAGGTGAGTGTTCTGGTCACACAGGCTGCTGGGCTGTGGTATTCCTGGAGCTGGTGCGTGCCTGTTGGTGTAGGAGGCTGATCCCACTGCTAGAACAGGTTTGCTGTTGGGTAGGTCCAAGCTCCATCCAGTCCCTGTGCAGTAATCACCTGCCAACGGTGAGGCAGATTCCAAGTCCAGAGCAGGCTCACTGGTCAGAGGGGCCAGGGACTCTGGGGCTGGTGCCTGCCCACTGAGGTGTGGAGGCTGGTCCTGGGGCTTTTGGTGGCTCGGACCATGTCCAGGGGCAGCTGTGCATTGAGAGCGTCTGAAGGCAGCCTGTTTGCTGGTGGTTGGGGCTATGCCCCTGCTCAGTTAGTTGCTTGGCCTGCAGCATCCTAGTACTTGTGTCTATGGTCTGGTGGAAATGGGTAGGGTTAGGTCCTGAGGCTAAAAAGATAGAGGGAGGATTCGGAAATTATGCTTGCTGGTACCAGTGGCCACGAGGTAGAAGGAGCTCCCCCAGATGGCTGCTGCCAGTGTCTATGTCCCTGAGGCTGTGCTGTAGTTGCCTCTTGCCTCCCTGGGAGACTCTCCAAGATCAGGAGGTAGGTGTGACCCAGGATCCTTTCAAATGACTGCTTCTGTTCTGATTATCGGGTCATGTGGGATTTTGTGAGCATCTTTTTTTCTTTTTTTTTGCGGTACGCGGGCCTCTCACTGTTGTGGTCTCTTCTGTTGTGGAGCACAGGCTCGTGACGCGCAGGCTCAGCAGCCGTGGCTCACAGGCCCAGCTGCCCCATGGCATGTGGGATCCTCCCGGACCGGGGCACGAACCCGTGTCCCCTGCATCGGCAGGCGGACTCTCAACCACTGCGCCACCCGGGAAGCCCTGTGAGCATCTTTTAAGTGTGGAATCTCTATTTCCCACAACCCTCTGGCTCTCTGGAAAATAAGCACTACTGGTCTTCAAAGCCCAACTTTCTAGGAACCCTTCTTTCCAGCACAGGATCCCTGGGCTTGGGAGCCTGATGTTCTGTTCATACCCCTTGCTACCTGGGAGCACCTCAGAAATTGTAATTATTCTCCCATTTGTGGGCCACCCACCTGGTGGTATGGGTCTTGACTCTGTTGAGATTTTGCCCTTCCTTCTTGTCTTGCCGAGGTGCCTTCCTTATATCTTTAGCTCTAAAACATCTTTTATGTTAGGTCCCGGCCTTTTTCATCAATTGCTGTTCTGTAAACAATTGTGACTTTGGTGTGCCCATGAGAGGCATCAAGCTCTGGGTGTTTGAATGCTCCCATCTTGGACAATCTCTCCACTTCATTCTTAAATCATATTATTTAATTTTTCTTAGTATCTTATTTGATTAGCGACAGTTTGAAATTTATTATCACTCATGTTTACTTCTCCTGTTTTAAAAAATTGAATAGTGAATTCATTCATTTTGAAATGAAGGTAGTGATCTGTGAATTTCCATACCTCAAAAATCCAGGATAGGACAAAAGCCTTTTCTACCTGTGTTACCCTCAAACTCTGCACCCGACCCCAGCCTGGGGATTAACCTCTTGCACCCATGCTCACCTTCTGTTTTTGGACCGTTCACCATCACTGCATCTGTATGTGTGTTGACAAAGTGAACTCTAGTCTTTCCAGTCTTTGTGTTGTGTTTTCTGGATTAGGGAACAGTCCTCCTATGAATGTACATTTACTGGTCTGCTGAAGTTCATATATAAACCTGTCAAGCACATTACCAGAATTGGAATTGCTTGTATATACACTTTGATAAATTTTAGAGACAATGGTAGAACAGAAGTAAATTGTATTTCAAATCCCACCATATTCTCACACCATGAAAACCCTTCCCTTTTTAATATATTTGTGTGTATTTTATCTTTATGCCCATAGTATATTTCCCAGAGATGGGTAAGTGTTATATTTCTTGCTAGCACATTTACCGTATTGTTCAAACATTTAGTGGTTAAACATGATCATATTTCCATGAACATGCAAATACAAGCTCTTCTCTCACACTGTCTTTTACTCCCTGCTGTTTTGTATTGCCCTCCTAATTCTCAGTCCTGGTCTTTCTTTATGTTCTTCATCAACCTGGATAGGTTATACTATTTTCTCCCTTATTCAAGGCTAATAAAATAGAATAGAACACCCAGAAATAAACCCTGATATATGGCCAAATGATTTTTGACAAGTTGCCAAGACTTTTCAAAGTAGAAAGGATAGTATTTTCAACAAATGGTGCTGAGAAGTCTTGTTGTCAACATGCAAAAGAAGGAAGATGGACCCTTACCTAACATCATATGCAAAAATTAATGGAAACGTATTAAGAAACTAAATATAAGACCTAATAAAATAAAAAGTCTTAGAAGAAGACACAGGACAAGAGCTTCATGACATTGGATTTGGCACTGTTTTCCTCAATGTGAAATGAAGGAGCAACAAAGGTACAGCTAACAAAAGAATAAACAATTTGCAGTACATAATTTAAAAAAACTGTGTATCAAAGAAATGTAAACAGAATAAAATGGCAACCCACAAGATAGGAGAAAATATTTGAAAGCCATCTATCTGAGAAGAGATTTCTATTCAGAATATACAGAGAACTCCTACAACTCAACAAAAAGCAAACACCCTGGTTCAAAAATGGATAAAAGACTTGAATAGATGGTTCTTCAGAAAGATGTACAAATGACTAAGCACTTGAATAGACGCTCCGTATCACTAAATGCATGTTTATATATTTGTGTGCATGCACACACACACAAGCACACAGACACATACACAAGCAGAAAACAAGTATTGGTGAGGATGTGAGGGAGTTGGAAGCATTGTGCTCTGTCAGTGGGAATGTAGAATGATACAGCTGCTTTGCAAAAGAGTATGGCAAGTTTTCAGATATTGAAAAATAGAATTACTACATGATCCAGGAATTGTACTATGAGGTGTACCCAAAGGAATTGAAATCAGGGTCTTAAAGAAATATTTGTACTTCAATATTTATAGCAGTAATAATCACAATAGTTAAAATATGAAAGCAACCAAAGTGTTCATCCACTAGTTCCTGGATAAACAAAGTGTGGTATACCCATATAATACAATATTGTTCACTGTTAAGAAGGTAAAGATCTAGGAATATGCTACAACATGGATGAATGTTGAGGAAATTTAGCTACCAAAATGCCATTTTTGTGACTTTTAGTGAGTCATAACAATACAACTACTTATTTCAATTATATGGGGTACTTAGTGTGGTCAAAACCATAGAAATTGGGAGGGTAATGATGCTTTTCAGGTGGTTATGGAACAAAAAGGAAAGTTGTGTTTAAAGGATATAGAGTTACAGTTTTTAAACGTAGAAAAGAATTAGAAAGATAAATGGTGATGTTCATCACCCAATAATATGAATGTATTTAATATCACTGAACAGTGTACTTTATAATAATTCACATGTTATATTTTATGTTATTTGATTTTACTAACATACAAAATAGGGAAAGAATGTAATATCAGGAAAGGGAGTGACCCTGGGATAGAGCAGAGAGTAATCAGAAGGGTGAGACACTGCATATGTTGAAGAAGAAGAGCTGAGAGTCTTCACTGGACAGGAGAGACTTTATAAAAAAGAAAAAAAATACTCTGAGGGTGTATTAAATAGATATCTGTGGGTGTACTGCTATCTCCCATGGGTTATCTTAAGGAGTCTTTAACAAAGTCCATAAGGCTTGCTGAGGCATTTTTAAAAACTGGATTCCCTAGGAGATAATTAGAGGGTGGTACTTCAGTCTATGTCTAGGTTGACAGATTTTGCAGGGAAGACGAACCTGAGAACAGTGGATGTCCAGAGAGTGTAAGTACATGGAAATTAGAAAAAAAATAATAAAGGGAATTAGGAAAACTTTGGACTTTGGAGGTCACGTATTACTGAGTCAGACCTGAGGTTTCTAAGGTGTTATATACAAAGTTGCTCTTTGGATTATTTGTTGATAAAGATAAGTGGAAAAACTAGAGTCGTTTCCAAGTGTAGGTAAGATATAATGAGAGGATGGAGGTGGAAAGTAGGGAGGCCCAGAGAAAAGTGGGAAGGTCATATTGGGCCACGATGGTGGTAATATCCCGCAGAACAGATGGTAGGGCAGACTATGAATTCATCTTTCTTATTTCGGCTCCCCACCTCATCCTTAATAATTCTTTGGGAATATTTCATTGCTCTGTGTTGCAGGTACAGAATTCTAGTAAGGAGACTACACCCTCAGTGTCCAGCTGTTTGAGTCCTCAGTGTGCTTCAAATGATGGAGAGTTATTGCTTCTTTATGAGAAGAGTTAGTACCTCGTAGGTAAGCTTAAGCTGGAGCTTATGCAATATTGATTCCATTTTATATATACTGTTGGCATGGAGGTTCCTCCTCCTCTTTCCTTGACCATTATGAAATGAATCTATATTTCTCAATATTTGGGTATATCAGATAAATACATTAAGTAAAGGAATCTTATATATTTCTCCCTGCATAATTTGCTTTTTCTTGTTTCTCTTTTACCTTTAGTAAATTAGCACAGGAAGAGACCTTGAAATGTTCTAATCAGGAGAGATTAGAACATCATATTTCTAGAGAGGTTGCTTGGACAGAGCAGGGGTCCCAGTGAGAATCAAGGCTTCTGTTTCTACTTGGAAGTATACCTGTATAGAGTAGAGGGCTCCAGGAAATATCCTAGAATATTGCAATTAGAGAGGCAGGATCTGGTACCAGATCAGTGTACTGTGACATATTTGTCAGTCATCTGATGTGAGATTCTTAGAGCCAATCCCATATGGTAGGGCTGAGTGCAGAGTGATAAAGAACCTGTGAAAGCCTCTGATTGCATGTTAAAGATGAAACTCTGATTTCGGGGAGAATTTTCTTACCTGACTGAATGTCACCTTTCTGTGGGTATGAGATTCTGTGTTTTTCCTCTGTTGATGACCACTGACTGAAAATCATTAGAGGATCATGTCTAGAAAGCATTCATTATTTAATTTCTTAAAGAAGAAAACATAGAAAACATATTTATCCACTTTCAAATTGAGGATCAAGGGGAATGACGTCGGTGAAAATGTCAGAGTAGGGAGCTCTGGCTTGTGTCCATCGCCAGAAACACTGACATACGTGGTAAAACCTGTCAGAATGATCTTATCAACACATGAAAGTTTCCTTTTATTTTTCGCCCTGTAGATTTATCTTTCATTGAAACTTAACTTACTACAGGATGTGGAGAATAAACAGGGAAGTAGAACCTGTATTTCCTGATGAGAGAATCACTAAGTCACATTAGCTGTTCTGAGCTGTGTCTTACTCACCGTGACTGTAATTAAAACAAACAAACAAAACACTTTTTTTTTGTAAGTCAGTTCTGACATTTCCTCGTTAAAGACAAGGTAACAGATAGAGACTTAGATCTACCAGAATTGAGCAAAATTTTGATTGTACCTGTGTTGAATATATGAGCATGACCTGCTACAAATCTTCATTATACTTATTGCCACAACTGACAAATTCCCTTTTTCCACTCCTGATATGTTGCATGTAAGGAATGCATAGGTCACTTATCCCAGCTGGTCACAGGTAAACACTGCCACATGGATTACTGGATGGTTTCCTGCTGGAACACCACACATTCTCGAGTATCATTCCTACAGAGTATCTGGGCTCTTCCTTCTTCTGGATAAAGGTTAGATAATCACCTAATTTTATGAGAAATATATAAATTGTATTCTTCAGGTTTTTATTTGTCCATTCTCTTTCAAGTCCTAAGTGCAAATATTAAAGTGATTTCCAAGAGGGTGGTAAATAAGACAGCTACATTTATGCTCCGAAATTAGCAATAAATCATAATACAATTGTAAATGCATTAATGTGTGATTAATATGTAGATACATATGTAAATGCAATTTTAGTAATGCTTTGTGGAGAGCTTCAGAATCTAGGTATTAAAAAAAAGAAGTTCTTGAAACTCACAGGGAATTATAGAGAAGTCTTTGTGTCTATAAATATCAATCAGAAATAATGCATATTCTCAGAAATAAACTAGGCATAAAATTGTAGGGAAACACTTCATGAAATGAAAGAGCATGTGATGGCCATACAAGAAAAAAGAATATTCTCAGAGAATAATGAACAGTGTGGAGTTCAGCAGAAGGGTAATACAGATTCAGAGCGTAGTACTTTGGAGAGCCTAATTATGAGTTCCTCATATTTCATCTTTGGAGAGACAGTAGTCATTTGAAATATGATGTTATAAGATGACGTTAGCATACTTAAATACTTTCGTTTAGAAATGACCACTTAGAACCAGAATAAATGAAAGAGAACACAAAATTATGTTTTTGTTGATTTTTGAAGATCTCAGGTGAGTTCTGATAATTTAAAAATACATGATGCCTTTCACTGCAAAGTAAAGGAGCTCTTACAGTGGAGGATTCCTGGACTGAATGTCAATATTATGACATAGTGTGAGTGTGTTTCATGTTTGGTAATTGCAGTCATTGTTGCTTTTGTTGTGGTCATCCATTTACAGTGCTTGGTGTCAGTTGATTTATCTGTTGTAAAAATAAAATACAGTCTGTGTCTGTGAAAAAAAATACATGATGTCTTGATAAAATTGTATGGAATTTGAGATCTGGAAAAAAGCATTTCTTTTCTGTAATGCTAGGATGGTAATTGGACATTTTTGCAAGAAGGAGATTTCAGGATGCAAATCTGGTGTCTCTAAGGTGGGAAGTCAGTTCATGGTGGAACATTCTATTAAACTTGTGTGAGTGCAGAAATATTTCTTTGGAAGAAAGAGGTCACAAATCCCTTTTTAACAGTTAGTGGTTTATAGTATACTGAATGAGCAAAATGGTTATGTCTGAACTTTAGAAAAAAATAATATAGTTTTTCTGCATTTATATAATGAAGCTGATGTAGAATATCAAAAATTCTTTATTTTGAAAAACAATGTAATCAACTTGACATAATTCATATATATTGAACCTGTGGTACACACACACACAATAAAACTTACATTCAAAAAATCTTTGGCACTTAAGAAATATTTTCCAGTGTAGTTGATTTACAATGTTGTGGGGTTTTTTTAATACATGTATATTGGAGTATAATTGCTTTATAACACTGTATTAGTTTCTGCTTTACAGCAAAGTGAATCACCTATATGTATACATATATCCCCATATCCCCCCCTCCTGAGGCTCCCTCCCACACTCCCTATCCCACCCCTGTGGGGGACATAAAGCACTGAGCTGATCTCCCTGTGCTATGCGGCAGCTTACCACTAGCTCTTTTACATTTGGTAGTGTATATATGTCAGTGCTACTCTCTCACTACGTCCCTGTCTCCCCTTTTGCTCTCTGTCCTTAAGTCCGTTCTCTACATCTGTGTCTTTATTCCTGCCCTGTCACTAGGTTCGTCAGTACCATTTTTCTAGATTCCATATATATGTGTTCACGTACAGTATTTGTTTTTCTCTTTCTGACTTACTTCACTCTGTATGACAGACTCTAGGTCCAACCACCTCACTACAAATAACACAGTTTTGTTCCTTTTTATGTCTGAGTAATACTCCATTGTATATATGGGCCACATCTGATTTATATATTCATCTCTTGATGGACACTTAGGTTGCTTCTATGTCCTGGCTATTGTAAAAAGTGCTACAGTGAACATTGTGGTACAAGTATCTTTTTGAATTATGGTTTTCTCAGGGTAAATGCCCAGTAGTGGGATTGCTGGGTCATATGGTAGTTCTGTTTTTAGCTTTAAGGAACCTCCATACTGTTCTCCATAGTGGCTGTATCAGTTTACATTCCCACCAACAGTGCAGGAGGGTTCCCTTTTCTCCACACCCTCTGCAGCCTTTATACATTGTTGTATTAATTTCTGCTGTGCAGCAAAGTGATTCAGTTATATATATATATATATATATATATATATATATATATATATGTATAGTCTTTTCCATTATGGTTTATCACAGGATATTGAATATAGTTTCCTCCGCTATACAGTAGGTCTTTGTGGTTTGTTTATCCTATGTAGAATAGTTTGCTTCTGCTATTCCAAAACTCCCAATCTTTCCATCCCTCTCTTCTTGGCAACCACAGCTCTGTTTTCTATATCTGTGTGTTTGTTTCTGTTTCACTGACATGTTTATTTGTGGCCTGTTTTCGATTCCACATATAAGTGATATCATATGGTATTTGTCTTTCTCTTTCTGACTTACTTCACTTAGTATCATTATCTCTAGGTCCATCCACGTTGCTGCAAATGGCATTATTTCATTCTTTATTTATGTCTGAGTAATATCTATTGTATACATATACCACACCTTCTTTATACATTCATTTTTCAATGAACATTTAGCTTGTTTCCATGTCTTGGCTATTATAAATACTGCTGCAATGAACATAGGGTTTTATATATCTTTTTGAATTATAGTTTTGTCTAGATATATGTCCACAAGTGGGATTGCTAGATCATATGGCAACTCTCTTTATAGTTTTTTTGAGGAACCTCCATAGTGTTTTCCATAGTGGCTGCATCAACTTACATGGCCACCAACAGTGTAGAAGGGTTCCCTTTTCTCCATACCCCATCCAGCATTTGTTAATTGTAGATTTTTTTAATGATGGCCATTCTGATCAGTGTGAAGTGATACCTCATTGTAATTTGGATTTGCATTTCTCTAATAATTAGTGATGATGAGCATCTTTTCATGTGTCTATTGGCTATCTGTATGTCTTCTTTGGAGAAATGTTTCTTTAGGTTTTCTACCCATTTTTCCATTGAGTTATTTGTTATTTTGTTATTGAGTTGTATGAGCTGTTTGTGAAGTTTGGAAATTAAGCCCTTGTCAGTCTCATCATTTGCTAATATTTTCTCCCAGTCCATAGGTTGTATTTTCATTTTGATTATGGTTTCCTTTGCTGTGCAACAGCTTATAAGTTTGATTAGTTCCTGTTTCTTTTTTGCTTTTACAGTAAGTCACCTATATATGAACAAGTTCTGTTCCAAGAGTGCATTTGTAAGTCCAATTTGTTTGTAAGTGCAACAAACTTAGCCTAGGTACCCATCTTACACAGTCGGCTATATGGTATTGTACCGTAATAGGTTTATAATACTCTTCACACAAACGATACTTAAAAAACAAACACAAAAATAAAGAAAACAGTTTTAGTCTTACAGTACAGTAACTTGAAAAGTACAGTAATACAGTACAACAGCTGGGATACTCAGGCTGGCATCGAGGGAACAGGCGAGAAGAGTTGCTGATTAGAGGAGGGAGAGGAGGTGGGAGAAGGTTG